GTTGATCAGTTCACTGTATCGATTTTCGCTTGCATCTCCTGCAATGCATTTCTATTTTAAAGACACCAAAACAATAAACTCTCCGTTAGGCGTAGCTCACCGATGAGCGCAAATCCCTCAGTCGAAGATTTGGACTTTAAGACTCGTTTGACCGCCTCTTCGTACGTGTCCGGAAGACCAGATTCCAACATGTAGCGCCATATATTCGTGTACTTGTCGTTCACCGGATAATCCCAGACTGCTAGTTGAGCCCTTTCCAACGGAGACAGCGAGGTGTTGAGGCTGAGTGCCTTCCACATCCTGAAATGGTTGCTGAATGAGGTTAAGAGTTAAAAGTTTATAGTTTAGGCATATTTGCAGACCTGTTTGTCCCCTATAATAATCATTTGCATATAGAAAGAGAAAAATAGCGTGCTTCAAGAGAATAGTGGACATGTTTCAGTGACATGAAAGTCTAAGCTCGGACTTCACAAATTATCAACGGTGCCGTGTCATTTCTAAGGGCGAAATATACTGCATAATAACTTGAAATTTTTGTTGGATAATGGTATTTGACGGATCGATAGCAGACAATTTAGAAACACTCTGTAGGTGCTGACCAAATGACGACATCATAGCGCGAACACAAGGCACTCCCATAAGCTTTCGTTCAGAGGCTGTTTGTACTTGTGGGAATTCACATTGAAATAGCTTGCAGTCTGGTGATGATACATGTAAATCTACGTCAGGATAATCACTGAGAAAATATGAAGCTTATATAATTAAAATATACTATGGCATGATGGTGTATGATGATATGCTCATAAACCTTCCATAACCAGGTCTAATTGTACATGACACGACTCTCATGTTTTTAGGTTCTCGGATACTTAGAAGAAGGTCTCTTCTGCTATATGCAAACACAGGAAAAAACCATCTTCTGGAATTGTTTGCGATAGCTAGGAATCGTTTTAATAGGAAAAACAGTACCAGCTCCAGCAAAGTACTACAGGCGCCCAAATAACTAGATGCATAACCCTCACCCACTTAAATAACCCCTAGGCATCTAGGAGCCAGAGCAACGCCGCAAACCCCTATTTCATGGATTATGCATTTATTGCCTTATGGTTATACTAAAATCAACATATTATTGCATTGGTTGTTTTTCGAACTGTTTTAGAAGTTCTGGAA